CAAAGACAAAGATCCTGATAGTGGATAGACTACACAACAATCATCCACACATAACCACAATTGACCGGTTCGAGGTTGTGAGCTCATACTTATATCTGGGATCATTAATCACAAACACAGGGTCATTACAAGAAGAGATTAAACGTAGATCTGATCTAGCAAAAGTTGCCACAGCAAAAATGACCAAAATATGGAAGGACTGTCAAATTTCAAGAGCGATAAAGATCAACTGCTTAATATTCCCAATACTGACCTACGGATGTGAATCTTGGACTCTGAGACAATCGGAGAGAAGAAAGATAGACGCCACTGAAATGTTCTGTTGGAGACGGATGTTACGAATTCCTTGGACCGACCGCAGAACAAATAATTCAATTTTAAGAGAGCTAAAAGTTAGCCAACGACTCTCTAGTAAAGTCCATCTCCAACAATTAAAATATTTTGGGCATGTTATGAGAGCAAACACAGAAAACATGGAAAGACTCATAATACAAGGAAAGGTAGAAGGCCGAAGATCACGAGGAAGATCCCCAACAAGATGGATAGATCAAATTACAGGAATATGCCAAAGACCTATGCATGAATTAAAAGAAATGACCAGAGAAAGAGATCTCTGGAGACGGACAATACACGACATCACGTCGACCACTACACTCCCCCTGGGGGGTCAGGATTGAAGAGAGAGAATTCGTTAGAGGATGTGCTTTTAAATATTCGTAAAATTTATGGTTTTTACTTGATGGCTATTTGGCCCATTTTACCAGGAATATACGAAATTTTCTTAATAAAACCTACGAAGACCACTGTGTTTACTCCATTCCGATACAAAATCATGTACAATTTTTGCTAAGGATACAAGATTCTTACAACGAATTTAGAAATAACTTTAGAATTTTTGCTATAATTCGGCGTTTTCTAAGCAAAAGGGCAAATTTATGCATAGAAACTAATGGTCATTAACATCGAGCATCTTTTGTTACTATCTAGTTTTGATACTTGTTCTTTTGTGTTAGTTTCGTTCGATCGTAATAAATACTTTGTTTTGAAAACTTTTTAAATAAAAGTTTGTTTTAATTTGATTTCTTGCTTCCTGTCCCAAACTTTTTTTATGATATGTATGCTGTATTTATTGAAACAAAAGATAATTTATAAAATTAGTTAAGGTACCTATTAATTTAACTTTCATGACGAAAAAATGAAAAAATTTCAATTCGATTTTTCTAGAAAATGGTTTATCCTACCGACTTACAGTAGTAGTACCTTTTAGTACTACAATCTCTAAAAATTTAATAATCTAATATAACAAATGCTTAAGAGATAAAGACAAAAAGTTTTGCATTAAAATAACCGTTGACCTACCTAAAACGGGCGCCTATCACCGGTACTAGAAATTTGCAATTGATGGAATTGATTCAACTCTAGATGATAAATAATCGTACAAGTTTTTGTTTTTCTAAATAGAAGCGTTCTGGAGATACTAAAAAAACTAATTACAAGGCCTCAATTACAGAGGAATCTCCGGTCTTCTTACTTACTTACTTACTCCGTGGCGTTACAACCCTTCGTGGGTTTTAGCCGACTCGACAACATGCCTCCACCGTTTTCTGTCTTGAGCAACCACCATCCAATTCTCCACGCCCATAGTGCTTAGGTCTCCTGCTATATTATCCCGCCACCGGAGATGAGGGCGTCCGCGTGGTCTCCTTCCAGTTGGGACCTCTCACACCAGTCTTACTGTTCGTTCGTCAGAATGTCTTCTGAGGTGTCCTGCCCATTGGAGTCTTCTGGACTTTATTTCTTTTATGATATTGGCGTCTGGGTAAAGTTCTTCAGGCTCTTTTTAGTTCTTATCCTATATTGTCCTGATGCTTCATCAAGCACCGGACCAAAGATCTTCCTTAGGATTTTTCTTTCCCAAACACCTAGTCTCTCTTCATTTGCCTTTGTTATCGTCCACGTTTCGTTTCCATACATCACAACGGGTCGTATGATTGTTTTATAGACCTATATCTTCGTACGTCGTGTTAGTTGTTTTGATTTTATAAGGTTTTGGAGGGCAAAAATACATCTGTTGCCGGCCTGAATCCTGTTGTTTATTTCTTGTGATCCGTTATTGTCTTCAGTTATTGTTGTTCCAAGATACTTGAATTCTCTAACGCGCTCAAAGTTAAAGTCATCGATGGTAATGTTCTGACCGATTCTGTCTCTGCTTTGGTTATTGCAGCTCATATACATATATTTCGTCTTGTTTTCGTTGATTTGGAGCCCCATCTTCTCTGCTTCCTTCTGAAACCTTACGAAAGTCTTCTTCATCCTTAATCGCGTGTTTCCTATTAGATCTATATCGTCTGCAAATGCCAGTAGTAAGTTTGGTCCTTCTCGATGAAATACTGTATTCGGTTTTTCGATTCTTGCACTTCTGATTATGTGCTCCAGAGCTAAGTTGAAGAGTTGTGGTGAAAGTGCATCTCCCTGTTTTAGTCCATTGTTTATTTCAAATGTCTCCGAGTATTGTTGTCCAACTCTCACCTTACATCGTAACCGTTCCATACACATCCGTATCAACCGGACTAGTTTTTTTGGAAAGCCAAGTTCCTGCATCGCTGTCCACAGTCTGTCCCTACATACTCTATCAAATGCTTGTTTAAAATCTATGAACATCTGATGAAGCTCACGATCAAACTCCCAGAATTTTTCCATTATCTGTTTTATTGTGAATATCTGGTCAATTGTAGAGCGGCCCGGTCTAAATCCGCATTGATAATCTCCATCGATTTCTTCTGTGTATGTTTTGGTTCTTTCTAGCAGGATGTTTGCAAGGATTTTGTAGGTGGTGTTTAGGAGTGTTATTCCCCTGTAGTTAATACATTGCTTTTTGTTTCCTTTTTTGTGTATTGGTACAATAACCCCTTCTTTCCATTCATCTGGCATTGTTTCTTCTTGCCAAATGTCTTGAATTAGCTTGTATATCGAACTGTAGAACGCTTCTCCTCCATGTTTTAAGCACTCTGCGGGTATACCATCGCTACCTGGTGTCTTATTATTTTTGAGTTTTTTAATTGCCTGTATTACTTCTTCGTATGTCGGGTATTGGTCTTCTATTTCAGCTGTATGTACCTCTATGTTTAATGTACTTCTGCTAGATTGATCATTCAATAGTTGATAGAAGTATTCCTTCCAGGTTTTTAAGATTTCCTTGTCATCAGTGATAAGCTGTCCACTGTCGTTTTGAAGAAAGTTTCCTGTTCTTGCTTGGTACCCGGTCTTGATATCTGAAACTCCTTTAAAGAACTGCCTCGCTTGTTTGTTCTTTCTTTTTTCTTCTATATCTCTGATTATTTGTTCCTGATACTCTCTCTTCTTCCTTTTCATTAGTTTTCTTGTCTCTGTTCTTCTTTGTCTATACATTTCATTGTTGTTGTGCGAGAGGTTTTGTAGTATGTTCCTTCTAGCCATATTTCTTGCTAATATGGAGTTCAGGCAATCATCATAGAACCATTTTTTTGTTGTTTTCTTTTTGTGTCCTAGTATTTCATCTGATACGCTTGTCAGAGCTACTTTGATATTTTTCCAAGCTGAGTCTATGTTGTTATAGTCTTCTGTCTGTGCTAGAGCGATTTTTACAGCCTTTTGAAATTTCTGTTCTGTCTCCTTATTACGTAGAACTTCATAATTCCATATTCCACAATTGTGTTGGTGTATTCTTGTGTGTTTTTTTGGACGCTATTCTTGTCCTTATCTTCGCTTTTACAAGAAAATGATCCGTGTCTCCATCAGCTCCTCTTAGGCATCTTACGTCTAGACAGTTACTACCCCTCCTTGGCATCTACTAGAACATGATCAATCTGATTTCTTGTGACGCCGTCGTTGGAGACCCATGTTTGTTTGTGTATATTCTTGTGTTCAAACATTGTCGATTTTATTAGTAGATTGTGGGATGCTGCAAAGTCTATTAGCCTTGTTCCATTATCGTTGCTAACATCGTGAAGACTATTGTTGGTTTGTACGCTGCTTCCTTCCCAATCTTTGCATTGAAATCTCCTAAGATAATATGCATGTCCTGTTTGACTAAATTATTTATCAGTTCCTCTAGTTTCTCGTAGAAGCTATCTTTTACATGCTCTTCCTTTTCCTCTGTCGGTGCATGGGCAGTAACTAGGGAATAGTTATGTAGTTGTTCTTTGATTCTGATATAACAAAGTCTTTTATTGACGGGTTTAAAAGTTAAAACTGACCCCACAAGACTTTCCCTGACTATAAAACCAGTTCCGAATTGATGTTCTCGTTCGCTTCCGCTGAAAAATACTACTGATTTATTAGTTTTTAGTGTACCTTCTCCAGTCCATCTAATCTCTTGTAAAGCAGTTATGTCCATGTTTCTGGATTCAAGTTCTTTGACCACCTGCGTTAGGGCTCCAGGCCGATATAGGCTTAGTATGTTCCAGGTTCCTATATTCATTGTCCTTTGTCGTCGCTTTTGTCGTCTTAAAAGATCCGTCCTTATCCGAGGCATGTGCTTCGTTTTCATAACTATGTTTTTTTACAAGAAGGAATAGTTAGTCCCTTGCTTAACCCTCCTCCTTTCTCATCCTGGACTTGGGACCAGGCAACGGCGGAGTTAATCTCCGGTCTTCGTTTGTCAGTAAAGTTTCTGGACACCCTGTATACTATCGAGTGGTACGTAGTCTGATTTATTGGAATTATTACACTGTAAATTCCGGCTATATTTTTAATGTATGCTTCTAGCTGCTTTGCTGGCTGCTTTAGTACGATATAAGCATATTTCCTCGGTTTTTGTTATATTGCAATGGATTTTTTTGTTATAAGGACACGATCAAATTTTGCAAAAACTTCTAACAAACTTATATTTTAAGATCTTGGAAACGATCTTGGAAGTCTTTATTTAAGCTTTTATTTGTTAATTGTTTTAATCTCAAAGTAAATGCATGATAAAAAGAAGCACGTTTTCAAGAGAAGTCATATCGTTATCACAGTAATCCCAAGCGTTCAGACCAATTTTTGTTTAAAAAAAACGTTCGTTATGAAAAATTAAATGTAACAATCTTAACAGTTTGTGTAGCGCGTATAGGTACTTTTAGTTCAACCATGACTGCCAAAGTTTCTGAAGATTTAGAAATATTGACTTATATACCTGAATCAGAAGTTAGTGAAGGAAATGTGAAACTGAAACCTGATCTTGCAGCTAGAGAATCTGAAACTTTATTCTTATTTCAACACGTTACAAAAGGTTAGAGTTAACATTGTGTCGTATTATCATTTTCTATCTAGATTATTTGAGATATTAAGAATAGGTGACTAATACAATTTTTTTTACATAAGACATCTTGAACCTTGCTCTTGCAGTGCCTTCTATTGAAGGTGGTGGATTATTTTGGCAAATCCATCTCCACTAACCACTTTTAAAAACTGCATATTTCAAACACTCCAATTATCTTAACTCCTCTTTGTTTTTTTATGCCGTACCCTACCTTTATACTCTTTTTTTTCTTTATTTATTAATTGTAGTAATCAGTTTTGTTATTAGAGGAAAGGCACTTTTTGAAATTTGAGACAGTTTTTTTTGAAAAACAAATATAAAACAGAATATTCAAAAGTTTTTGAAACATTTATTCCGAAAACTTAAATTTAATGTTTTTAGAATACAACAAAAAAAATAAAGCGAATAAAACATACATTCTTGCAAAAAAATACATTTAATTTTTTTTTGCGACATTTAATATTAAAAATAAGAGGTGCCCTAATTTGGGATAGGCAGGTATCTAAACTTGAGATAGGTATTTTAATTTGAGATACTATTCAAAAAATCCTTTTCCTTCTCAGAAAAGGCAAATAAATGTGATGGACTTTATTTGTCCACAGTCTTCATGTGCCCACCTGCCACATTGATAACACTTTGCCCGTCGTTCGCCATATCTATCGTTAGAAAATTTGCCGGTGGATTATAAAAATTTCGCGTGGTTTTCTCCGCTTTCACTGGACGATGAATCAGCTAATGGAAAGTCTTCACTGCTATCTGAGCTTTCCGCTTCCTTCTTGATGTTTTGCTTTTTGATGTAGAAGGTTGACCTACGCCTTCATCTGCTATTTCTCTTTCGTTCGTTGCTGCTTTTTTTTGGTCTCACACCTTTTGTTGTTTTTGTTTTTTTTTTTCTGTAGTAAAATCCTTACACAATCCAAGTTTAGCTGGGGTAGTAGTTTTTTTGCTTTTTTTTCTGCAAACTTTGCTCTAATTCTTCTTTGTAGGGTGTTAGACTAATTACCGAAGCATTTCCTGATCTAGCATGTGTTTTTTTAGTGGTATCTCTCTTGTGGAATGTAGGGATTGGACAGATGCCTTTCGGAGAAACAAGTTGTTAATGAGTGGTGGACTTGGAGTTCTATGTTCTCGCATTGGATGATTTGGTGGTTCATAGTTTGATTCTATTATTTGTTCGTCCCTTTTATTTTGTGTTTCTAAGTGCTCTTAAATTCCAAATTCAATGTCCCTAAAAATATGGCGACAAATAGGGACCAGTCCAGTTTTTCGAAGACCATTGCAAGATATTTCCATCATCGCGGCTTTGTTATACGCTTTACAAACAATACTGGCAACAACATAAGGCGACACACCACTCAACTGATTTTTCTAAGCCAGTTTTCTATTTCTTGTGCGTAGTAAGTTTTCAGCGGTGCCATAAAAGTAACATCCAACGGTTGCATTTTATGTGTAGAATGTGGGGGGAGGCAAATAATCGTCACATGATTTTGTTTGGCCAAATCTATTAGAGCAACGTTTCTCCTCAACTAGCATCAACTATGTTTTCATATTTTTTCTAGAGAAGAATAATAATGGTAGTACGAAAACTCCTGCAGCATTCATACATGTAATAGCAGTAATCAGCTTGCCCCTTTCTACTAAAGTAAGTGACGAAACCTGCTTCTTCTCTCTCATGGAAATTACTTTGCTATGTTTGTGCTGAACAATTGTAAAGCCCGTTTCGTCTACATTGAATATACGTTGTGCAGGGTTAGTAAGCTTAAGATATTATGGTTCATAGAGGTCAAAGAACTTGGATACATTTTCAGGAGTAAAAGATTTTACTCGAACACATGACATTCCCTGAGAAGTAGACATTTAAAGCGTCGGATGCCTTTTTGAGAAAGAGCCTCAACCATTTCTTTCCGGCTGATTTTTTGACTCCGCTAAATGGATGTGGTATTGAGTTTCGTATTGCAAGTTGAAATCCCAGTCGTTTTATGTCACGCGCTCTTAGCCCGAAATAACGTAGCTGTATAGTTAGAGCATACTCTAATTTTTATCGGAAATAAGCCACAATTTGAGTTTAAAATAAGTTTATTTGTGACGTTTCCACTTCGGAAATCGTTCTCAAAATACAAAATTTATATTTATTTATAAAAGTTGCATATAAAATGCGCTCGACACAAGTAGTCCTGAGGTTTGAGTCTGTGTAGACGTTTTTTTTTATCAGAGTTTGGTTACTATAAATGGAAGCAATTATCATCTTATAAACACAATGCAAAAATCTACACTCACTAGATTTGCAGCAATAGGAATTTGTTGACAATCAGAGAATAACGACCTTGACACGTTGATCTTTTTGTCTGCAGTGTAATATTTACTCTTTGATACGTTCTAAATTGATAAGTTTGTTTTTATCAATGAAAACTATATACAAAAATTATCCTGCACTGAGATGAATGGTAAAGGATTTTTCACCTAGAAGACCGCTTTGCAATTAAATGCTGGTAACTTTATTACTAGCGGACCAGATAAGCGGCGATATATTTTACACTACCTTTATGAATAACATTTTACTGCTCTGTTGTTTCAATCAACATTGCTAACAAGCTATCGTTTATTGGTTTATAATTTTATTGCAATAGTACGAGTTCACCCAATAATCAAATTATGCATTTGCAACAACATATTATTTGAAAAATAAGGAGTAAATACCATGTGTCATAAAAATTGTAATCTCAGGAAAAAAGACATTTAAGATTTTATCTGGGTTGTGGGGTGTCGTGGGTTGAAATATCAAAATGATTATTCTTACAATTAACCGAATTCCAATATATACCGATGGTTCAAAACAAAATAATGGTACTGGATGTGCATTCCATATACCATCAACAAACGTTCAAGAAAAATTGAAACTTAATAATAATACTTCCATTTTTTCTGCAGAAGCAATTGGTATTATTAAAGCATGCGATTATATTGAAAAAACAAGTTAAAAAAATATACTTTTTAAGTTACTCCGTATATATATATATATATATATATATATATATATATATATATATATATATATATATGTATATATATATATATATATATATATATATATATATATATGTATATATATATATATATATATATATATATATATATATATATATATATATATATATATATATATATATATATATCGGTTTTAAAACGTTCTCCTACGTCTTCCGATGCCTAGTCGCCATTCACTTCGGTCCATCCAAAGGTCTTCATCTAATTCTCTTTCTCTCATACTTCGATTTATGCCTTCTCTCCAACTAAGGCGGGGTCTTCCTCTTTTTCGTCTACCATGAGGGGTCCACGTTAGGATTTGTTTCGGGAGTTGTTCTTCGGACATTCTTTGTACGTGTTACTCCTTATCTGTTCTTAAATCGCTAACCCAAATAATGTGATGGTTACTAATATAAATTCTTTTATTATAGAATTAAAAGTAAGAATTCACAAATTAAAAAAAAAGTAAATACGAATTAAAATTCACTTGGGTAAAAGCTCATATAGGACTTCGGCAATGGCAATGAAGTTGCAGACTCCTTAGCCAAAGAAATCGTTACAACTGGACAGCATATCAACAACAATTTAGGTGCTCAAGAATATTTAATATCTAAAAGTAATTTTGAGGTAAAATGGGAATTGCATTGAAAACATTATTGCTCTAATAACCTCACACGATACACACTATTACATTTTGTGTGGCTCCAAGAATATGATTCTACAAGAAATGATATTGTGACCATTTGTAGACTGAAATTCAAACATACAAGCTTTCCTCAACACTCATATAAAATCGGTCAATACCGAACTTTGTGAAACTTGCAATGTGGTTTGCGACTAAGATGATATTTTTTATGCTTGTAGTTAATTTGAAATACAAAGACAGGAACTTATTAATAGTTTATTATTGCAAAAAATATAGCTACAACCCTTTAAAATCTACTTCATTTGATATCATTAAATATGTACAAGGTAAATAAAAGTATTCTTTAAGTATCTAAAAAAATTATTAAAATGTTTAATTTAAAAGTTTAGTGTAGGTGTTAAAGCTCGTTACCTCTAATCATGAATGTGTTGCTTGTGTGAATCCATTTCAAATAGGTAAAGAAATAATAAATAAGATTTACTCACAATCAATTTAATTTAACTATTCAGACGACCGGTTTCGCTTTCTACAATATGCAAAGCATCTTCAGGTCTCGATACAAAGTTAAATAAATGCTGAAATGATAAAAACTTAGATAAAGATAAAGATAAAACTGAGATATACTCGACTTTGCAATAATCTACCATTTTGCCAATAGAACTTTATCAAAGAAATTTGATAATTACAAGTTGAAAGAATTGCACACCCACACAATTTGTACATCTAAGCTTATTCATTGTCATAAAACTGTCACCTTCATAAAGCAAATACTCAATAAATAACACACATTTCATAAATATATCTCTCGAATAAGTATAAATAACTTTTAAATAATACAATGGTATATAACATCACTTTCATTTAACAAACAATCACACACCGATCTCTACTTTATTGGATCAAATCTATCTCCTCAAGAACTTCCCGTTTACTGTCAAACAACTACAATATCAGATACATGATAGTTTCAACCATGTTCTACCATCCATCAATTAATAGAGTACCGGCATGTAAGTAATGTTTATTTATTTGCTCATTTATTAATTTATTACAATCTAATAGACTATTTTATAACAATTTGTGGGTCTTACCTTGTCTGTTTTAAACTTTTTATACCTTTTGATTCATTTTTATTAATTTTAAAAAACCACAGACATGTAATATTGGCATAATTATTGTAATTTATAACATCTAATTTGTTTATCTTTATTAGACAACACCCCAATGTGGGTTTTTATCATTTCAGCATTTATTTAACTTTGTATCGTGACCTGAAGATGCTTTGCATATTGTAGAAAGC